GTCCTTAAAAATGTTTCAACAGGCATTATACATTTCCTTTGTCAGTCTGAATCAATTTTTCCATCACTTTCTTCAAAGAATTCTGTAATTTAAAGACGCTGATATTCCTTAACTCTGCTCATTTTCCTTTCAAAATGAAATGAACTTCTGCTCATCTTCCAGAATTAATTTTATTCTTCTAGAAAAAGCATGTTAATACAAAGCACTGATGAGAAGTACTTCCCAAGTCCCAAAATCTAACTCTTTGAGTCAGATTCAGTGTCAGTGTTCACAACTTCCCAATGAAAAACTGCTTTCTGCAAATACTACCTGACACTAGCTAGTATTTATATTTTTTCTGAATGACCTTGATAGGGAAACTAACACATATATGTAAGTAAGTACAAAAGTGAAAACAGCATTACTATAATATTTCATCCAGGCCAACAACCAGAAATATGGCATAAAACTCTGACATTCTGGCCACTGACAGCTTTACTACTTCAATTCACAGAGAATACCACCAAACAATAGCAGAAGTTGCAGCTACTTGAGCCTCAGAGAATGTAATTTCATTTATTAATTTTGAGGATATTTTTACTAGACTACAGCTTCATGTAGATTAGTCAGACACATCAAAACCCACATATTAGCTGAGGTGAAGCTGTGATGACTGCAGTTGTCTAACAGTGTCAATTCGAACTTTAGATGAATATAATTTGCTAGCTCTAAATGACAGAGCTATAATATAGATCTCATATATCGCCAAAGTAATAAATAATTAGTGAGCAGAACTGAGTGAAATAGCAGGTTGAGCACACCCCCAAATTTTGAATCCTGATGCAGAAGTCAGTGATCGGAATGATCCATCTTTCTGCCTCAAATGATAAAACAGCTTTCTCACAACCTAACACATAGCACCATCTGGCACGAAGAGAGGAAACGAAGAACGTCTGGAAGAGAAGCACAAAAGCAATTTAGTTTCTTTGGAATTGTCCAAGATATTAACAAAAATCCTTCAGAAACAGCCATCTGACTGCAAATGTGGCTCAGTGAGCCTGCATCCTGTAGACACGCTTGTACAGCTAACAGTCTCAATAAAATGTTGTTGAATTGAACTGAATTGTTTGGGTATGGGATGGGTGTTGTCAGAGTTAAGACAGTGTGTGTGGAAAGTCAATTGTCTACCAAACTGGCTGGGTTTCAGAACGTTATCTCATGTCTCTTAACGGGAATTTTAGGAGCTCAGAATACATCTCCTTAGCAAAGCTTAGCAGGCTCTTCTCAGTAGTTATTCATAAGAAGAGTGACTACAAACACCAAGCTAAGCTGTGCTTTGAGCGGTACCAGCACATGCATTGCTGGCTGTTTGCTAGGGCTCAACGTCCTCCACGTGCAGTGGGACAGGAGCAGTCTGATCACACCGTCAGCCCTGAGAGGGTCTGTGGAGTTGTGCCATCAAAGGCACTACTCGGATGTACAGTGCTGAGCCGTTAGCCTGAGGTGTTTGTAGTAGGAACACAAATGGAGTCTGCAGTCTGGATGACATTAGACTGTTTCACTGATATTAGCACAGATTTATTTTATCATTGCTTTTTGAAAGTGACTTTTAAGGCAGACTATTTTCTAAATGATCCTTAAAAGACACTCCTTTCTTCCTCATCACCTTCACCTAAGGCAATAACATCCAGTAGCATTGATCTATTTGCCGCTAGTTTTCATTAATTTTACCCTCCCTAAGGGTGGTGCAGCTTTGGTGCCAGCTAATTAAAACCTATTTAGGGCTGTTCAGTGCACTTTATCAGACCAGAATTAGCTCTGCTGCTTTAATGAAGACTACAGTTTTCTCTGTTATTACCAATTAAATGTTGTTATATCATATTGCATTATATTTCTAATGCACGGCAAAGATAGAGATGGTTTTAGAACCACTTATCTGGATTGAGGTATGTACAAAGATGCCGCATTTAGTAATTACCTAATGTTTCTTTAAATCCTTTCACTTGACTCAATACATACAATATACCAAAACATCAGTGAAGTACTGGGAGAAGCTGCCAGCTTTATGCTCCCTCTAGGGAAGTACCAAGTAAAATCCATTAATGAAAAATTGTGAATGCCTGGTAATGAATATTATTTATGTACAACAATTATTGAAAGTGGATAAGCATTCACCACCTTGAACTCAAATGCTTCACTAATGAAGACTCTCAGAAAGAACATATGTCCCCCAGATTCATAACACCGCATGCAAGGTTAATTCTCCAGCATGGATAGCCCGTATCAGAGGGTATTTTGTACTGTTGTAGAATTAAAAAAATGCTTCATTGCAAAATAAACAAACCTGTTTGTTGGAAGTTATTTAAAGGCAATTCTTGTTTCTTTCATGGGCCAATAATGTATCATTTGTCAATACCAAAGCTGTGGGTTTTGAACCTGCACTCAGTGAAGTCAGGGATGAAGCTCCCACATCAATGGTGCAGGACTAGAGCTTTTCTGCAGTAGACAAGTGACTGCAGCACATACCTGTTAGCTGTTTCTTACAACATCCTTTAAAACTTGAGCACCACTAGGATGAAACTACTGAAATGTCCCACTAATTACCTAAAAGGATGGTACACCAAAGAGTAGAAATAGAAAACTCATTAAAGGCTTGACAGACTAGAAATCTGCTGCAATCTTACTATGCATTAGTAGCATACACTGTACATAAGGACAGTATTTTAGGATTAAACTAAAATAGATGTGGTTACAATCCACTCAGTACATTTTAAAATATGAGTTGAACTTGGTTTCCTTCCAGAATTTTTGCTGGGAAGATGTTGAAACAGACCTCTGTTCAATCTAATATTGCAAGCAAGAGTTGATGTTTCTCTGAGGAACTGAAGGAATATTTGGCTGAGGAACCTGAGTCTGTCTCAGCATCATAATAGTCTGGCACAATGCGCGAAACTCTTTTCATCACCCACAAATCTCTTGTGCTCTCCCTTTACTGCTTCCACAAATGCTACATACCTCTAACAGCCTCATGACCCCCCCTAGAAACAGCAGACGGGTCCTGTGAATTGAAGATGTTACAGAAAATGAAACAGTTTCCAAATTGAAGTCTTCTGATTAGTAGGGAACTGCAGGATGTTTTCTTGTGATACAGAAGGTGTTGGCTGGTGAGACGTCAATTGTTTCCCTTGTTTCTGGCTGAAAAGTGCACTAAATGATGTTAAAAACACCACTTAGTATTTGATGTGGAAAAGTGGGACTAAAAATGAAAGTTGCAGTAGATACAAGGATGTGATCCAATTGCCACTGTGAGAAGCGGTAGGGTTTCTTTTGCAGTGTTAAAGGGAGGCAGTGCAAACGCAATGTGAAGTGGGTCATGAGGCAGGCTCTTTACAATTTGCCACTGTTCACAACGTGCAAATTCTAGTTGTTGTAACGGATTGAGGAGAACAAACTTGGACCACTTTAACATTAGGCTGCTTAAGAACTTTGTTCATAAGTGCTGGGAGAACAGAAGTTGAATCTGCCTTTGACATGAAAAGAAGCGTTTGTATTGTGTTAATCGCATAATAATAAAACCTTGAGATGTGTTAATTTATTGTAGAGGAATGGATTAGGCTGGAGATGAGGATACTTTGACATTGGATGATGAGATTTTTTTGATAGGATATACTAAGGTCTTGTCTCACAATAAGGATTTTGATAAAGCGTTGTAAAGTCACTGCAACCTGACTGACTTTAATATGGAAAAGTCATAAATACAAACAAATTTATGTTTAGCAATGCAATAATGTACCCATGATCATATTTAGCTCAATCAATATGTAAACTGGATGACTTGGATTATTAAAGGGCATTTTTGAAGATCTTGTGTATTTTCTCTATTAGCCTCTGTTCATCAGCTTCTTCAATTAAACTAAATAAGCCATGATAACCTTGACAGCTTTATGACATATAGGAGTTCTCTCTGACTCCAGAATCACAGCAGCAACATGTGCACATGGTGAACAAGCCGAGGGGGAACTTCTTCCCTGTGTTTCATTAGTTTCAAAAAAAGGAAAAAACTCTAACCAAGTTTTGACAGTTTAATAACAAAGTGAATCAAGGGAAGTTTGAGAGAACACACTTATCTACTTCAAAAGCTAAGTCAAAAGTTCTGACTAAGTTAAACTGTTTGTGAACATCTGTATTTTTAATTTGGCTGGAATAGCTACAGTCCTTCACAACTGCAAATTCATGATGTGCAAATTCAAAAATTAATACTAAGGCACAGCAGTGATCTGGAAACTCCTTCCTAGTTAGCTCCAGTGAGTATGCGTGACAGGTGCTCTTCCATGCCAAAATACAGATGATCAGAATTTTTGCAGCTGAATTACAAAATCCTACAATTTGTGGTCTTAATTCCACAAATCCAATTTCTGCTCTGAACACGCTAGCCAAAATAGTGGCCCTTGCACTTTCATCTCCTTACAGCCCCCACTTGAGCAGCATAAACACACATTCTCAGGCATGAAAAATAAAATTTCAGCATAATTCTGATAAAAGCCTAAATCTTTTACAGTATCTCTGATAATCCATTTTCACCAAGAAACAGAAATGCACAACCCTGGGGTTTGTGTTGGAAGAAAAGCTGAAGTGAATCTTAACAGAGAAGAAATTACAAACTCCAGTATTATCCTGAGGTTGTGCATTTGGAAATGTTGTTTGTGTGGGATTATCCTCTTCAAATAAAATGTCAATTTAATCAATAGTAAATTGAGCTGAAAACAACACACAGCTTTGAAAACGTTTCAGGAAGACATCCAATATTTTCAGGACTCAAGCCAACAGAAATGGAAAGAACAGAAGGTAGCGTAGGTGGGGTAAATGGGGCCTAGCTGCTGCCTCATCAAGTGCTTATAACAGTCAACATATAACAATCCATTAAAAACATATCTGGGAACTCATTTAGTAGCTGGCATCTGGCATCGACTTCTCTCATGTATCTTTTGTCAAACATTATAATCGTTCTTCACATTTAGGACTTACCGGTCTTTTCCCGTCTCCTTCTTAAATACTGCATCACAGTAACTCATGCGCTTTTCTGTTGTCACATAGATTTTGGCAGCTGGGTAGCTGTCAACAGTTTTCTTCAGCATGTTGTACACAATGCCATTTCCATCCTTCCTCATGTTTCGAAAAGGTCCCCAGATCACGTAAACAGTGGTGTTGGTTTCTTTGAAAAAGTATTCAGGATTCTTGAGTAGGAGAGGCACGCTTGTGTGAGAGACCACTCTTACGGTTGTCCTCTTCCCAACGTCCTCTTCATAGCCCTTTGTGGGAGCATTGTTCATCCTCCATATGCAGGAGGACTTGTCTATCTCAGCTCCCACTTTCTGGCCAGCCATCTGTCCTGAGTTTGAAACAATGGCACAGAGGTCACAGTCAAGTTGTAGAGGCTGGAAGAAAGAAAATAAAATTATATGGCAAGTCTTTCTCTGTAAAACATGAAGACTGAAAATTCAGTTAAAAGAAAGATGGGCACAGTCCAACAAATTGATAGCAATGCTTCTCTTTAAAAAACCCTAACAATCCCCATGTGGTAGAGCTAGTAGAAAACCCTACCACTACAAAGCTCTGAATGCAATCCTTTTTAGCCGAATAGGCAGTTCCATTTTTTTCCTTTGATCTCCACCTTGCAAAGTCAACTAGAAAAATAACAATTCCCTTTTTATCCTCTTCCACTAGAAAACAATGAAAGAAAGAAGCAGCAGAAAACAATATTTAGATCAATGCCACCTTCTCTTTTAATAAGGTGTTGTCAGCAATAGGAAAAAAGTACAGAAAAAGTAACGCTGGAAATTTAACTATAGACTAACTGTGTTTATGTGTCTGAATGAATAGTTCCCAAATTTGCGACAGAAGTCAAACATGAGATGTAACTCTAAAAAGCAGTTGGAAAGGAGATCTAGACAGAAGAATACGTTGCTCTCTCCAGAGAATGTTTATGACTCACGAAAAATGAGAGGCAGATGGACCGGTGACACATGAACTAGGAAATTAATCCTGAGCAAACTGAAGTCAAAGACAGTATTTCCTGACCAAGTTCTACGGTACTATTTCTCCAGTATGAATTGAAAATTGGAACAGTTATCTGTCTAACAGAGATACAGGAACCTATCTGATGTTTCGTTTGTCAGAGTATAAATAGTAAATGTCTTTTGGTTCTTTTGTACCAACAGACTAAAAGGAAAGGCCCTGTATTTAAGTTGGATTGCATGAAAAGTTGGTTAGAAATCTAAATCAAATGAAAACTAGATCCATCAAAAAAACCTACAGAACACAGTCTAGGCCAAAGATCATGTACAATTTTTTATATGGTCACAGACCTGATCTTCTGTCATACTCCCAACTGGGAGCCAGTGACTTCTGTTTAACGTTTGTTAGGAATAATTCCCTTCATGTTTTTCAGATGTTTAGACTGACAGGATGCTAGGTGCCTTTCTGATCAGACTTGTGGTTATTTCCCTTCAAAAATCACACCTCATTTAGCTGATGTGGATGAATATTCTGGTTACATTTGACCACTATAAACTTAGGACATGGTGGCTGACAAAACATCAAATTTCTTTGATAACGGTGCATAATGTAAGGATGAGAGATAAATATCTGAAGAGAGCCAAATTATAACAGCTACAATATCTCACCTTTGGGTGACAAATTTTGTACTGAACTAAGGTGCATCCTGCAACACTTCTGCAATAAATGTTACGATTGCAAAGGTTTGATTTCTCTGTTGTGATTGCTTTGATTTCTACCCATGAGTAGTTCATGAAAACATTCTTTCCTCATTTCACCGGGAGTTAAACATGCCTTACTGCATGCAAAAGCATTGGCAATGTTTCCTTTATGGAACACTATGGGGTTTTTTTCCAGCTGTTGTAGTTTGAGAGCGCTGTCCTGCATAGCTCTCTGACAGCAGGGATGAAATCCCAGGAGATGCTGCTGAACACAACAGTCTTTCTGTTTACTGCTTAGTTATAGAAATCCTCTCTAAGATACATTAGGAGGACATGGCTGGGTGACTTAAACAAATCCATAAGCATAACTCACATCCTAACATGAAGTGAATTGTTAAAGTCCCAGTAGATTAATTTATAGCTTTCAGGGTGAACTTTCAAACTAACAAATGCTGAATATGAAACTGCTAGATAGGAAATGCCGATTTGGCCAAAAATCTGGTCCCATTTAAATTTGTCTCAGCCTCAGTATTGGCTTTATTTTGGGGTTTTTTTTGACAATATTCTTCCTTCTCCATTAAAATGGAGATGCTCTCTTAAATTTTGAACTGTTTGATTTTCTGACCTTAGTTAGAAATGCATTGCACATTTTCTATTCACTGAGTGTAACTGTTCTGCTCGAATAAACTGAGTACACTCACTTCTGCAATTGTGTCCCCCGTTTTTCTAGCTCTTTTGTTGCGATTCATTTATCTTGTTCCAATTTATAAAGCACTTTCATAATACTGAATGCCTGAGCTAGGTCAACATATAATCTGCTCTTCTTCAACAGAGGCAGAAGCTTAACCCCTCCCGGTTCTATCTCGGAATAAATATTTTTTTACAATGTAGAGAAATTTCACATGTCCTAATATGCGTATTTCCCAACAGAGATCCCAGAGAGAGTTAGGAGACTGACTGACACCCATGACAGACATTCCACTGACTCCAGAATCATCCAATGACTTCAGTATCTTTTTGCATCATATCTTCCTCAACGTACGAGAAAAAACACATCAATATTCATTCGTTGAACCCCCATGTGGAGACAGGCCGGCAGCTTGCAGTGTTGGTTTATAAGTGTCACAGACAAAAGGAGCAGTTTCAGTAATCCACATACAACAAGCTTTCTCATTTTCCTCATTTAACACGACATTCCTGTTTGTTATTACACCCTAGCTCAGGTATGGCTGTCTTACCGCTTTAAGACTCAAAAGCTGCTCAAATATGGCTCCCCTGCCAGGTGGCTCCCACAGGAACTGTTCAGGCACAGGGATTTGGGTGCCCAAGGGGCCGGAATTGGGAAGCACCTGGGTGGTTGTGGCTGCCACTTCTGCTACTAAACTAGGACACAGCTGACAGCTCCCTATAATCCTTGAGGAGTTGGAGTGATGTGCTGTTGTCCTCCCTCACCCCATACTCTGGCATCCTACATCCCTCACACCCTTTTCCCATATGCAGATTTTTTGACTGCAAGGTTGCCCACAACAGCCCTAAGCTGTATGAGAAACTATCACTTTCCCATTTGACTTGCTGTATTGTTTGTATTGAGGATGAACAGAAGGAGAGAGACAATTTTTACACACAGAAACTGGAATACAGAGAAATGAAAACTGGAGAACTAGAGAAAATGTGTCTTCTTGGTGATCTGTTTTGCAATTAACAGTAACTGTCTACAGGTGTCCACATCACAAACACCAGGACAGCAATTAAACACTAACTCAGCAGCAGCCTTATCAGAGAAACCAAAAACAGGTCTGGCAGGCAGTCCAGGCTGCCCTCTCATCTGTAGAGATGGTCCAGCAGCAATGGGACTGATACAGGTTGGCAGGACTGTACAGAAACCGGTGCTGTTACTGTGTTAATGCTCTCTGGACTGAGAAGATCAATTAAGGGTTTACCTGTACCTTCCACAAGATCTTCATTCACTTGCATTGTAGATAAATGAGCTAAAGAAAAAAATATAGAGATCTGTTCACCTTTTCTTCTCTTTTCTTGTATTTAGACATGTATTTCACCTCTGCACACCACGGGGGCTGAGCTATTAATGCTTCTAGAAAATTATTCATTTTATCGTTGACCAAAAGGATGTAGAAGTCCTCAGCAGAGCAGCTGGGCATGATTCTGACAAATTGTCCCATCTTTTTCCTAAATGATACATTGTAAATGTTGAGGAGCACTTATATTTTAATCAGTAAAGAAAATGAAATGTCTGACCTTTCCATTTCCTGTGCAAGCTTACAGACAATAGAAAAGATAATTAAAAATGTGAATTAGAACTTGCAAAACAGTGCCGTTTCTCTAGCAAAGAGAAATAGCTGTGTAATAAAGGTCACTTATCAAACAGTTCTAGTTATTAAATCTTTGCATTTAGCACTGAAGTGGCTTCACAGAATCAAAGGTCAAATCATTAAATAACAAAACCAGCCAGAATTAGAAAAGGTCACAAGCAAATCTAACTAGAAGTAGGTCACAAAACATGATTCTCTTCCACAGAGAATTTCAATATTTGGAAAATTGGTTACTTTCCAATTTGAAACAACTCCCCCACCATTTCAAATGTCTCCACCAAGAAACTGAAATTCCAGCTACAGGACCACTTTTATGGGCAGGTTTCCTAATGGCACAGATCCTGAATCATCAAGTTTCCCAATCACAAACCTGTAGGTCTGCTGAAGTCCCAAGTGAGGATGATCTCAGGCCAAGGCTCTTAAATTCTTGGCCAAGACTTCAGCACAAGTCAGCAGAGTCCAACAAAACAATGTCTTGACAGCCCAGTCACATGCCAAGCTCCCATCTTAGCAGAGACTGCCAGATTCACTCTTCAGCTGGACTTAATCTAGCTCAGGAGCTATGCAGATGTAATTTACACTAACTAAAAGCTAAATTTCTCTTGTGACTTCTTAGCACTGTAGGCTGGTGGTGCGCTGGAGAGCTCACCCCAACCACCAACTCTGCTTCAACTCTGTGAATCCCACAACTAATCATACAGATAGTTCAGAAATTCAGAGAAAACTTTCCCAATTGTTACTTTAACAATATGATTGTAATTTTGTAAATTGGACGCAATGCCCATTCTCTACATAATGAGGCAATTATTAGCAGCTCGCCACGTATTAATTTGCTCCTTTAATGTTGAAACAAATGAGATCTTTTCTTATAATCATCCTATTTGAGTGAATTCTAACAAAGCCGACTGAACAAACCTCCAGAGAGACTTTCTTTATTTCAATGCCATTTATTCTTCTACTCTTCTTGGATGTCTTTAGAGTTTTAGAGGATACAACATTTATAATGATGCCAATAGGGAATAGATTTTGCCTTTATTCTTCTTGATGTTCTTTTGAGGTCTTTGAAATGAAAGGTACAAGAGAGGCATTAACCGTCTGGCATTGTTTTTATTGCTTTTCTCTACTTCACAAGCAAAAAATGTATTTTAATTTTTCCTATGTTTCAGTGATGATTAACGGAGCTGGTTTTATCTACACTTTCTTCAGACCTCTGACTGGGAAGAAAGACTTGCCAGGCTTCTCTAAGACAAAATTCAGCACATTTAAAGAAAAGAAAGATAGTATTTGTGTGTTCACCCAGCAAGAGCTATCAATTTAATACAGCATTCAGAAGCACTGGACATAAATCACATTATATAACTAATGTCAAGCAATAAAAATAAAAATAAT